TTCTCGCTCCAGGCATTTTTGAGTCGCTCCGCTCCGACTCCGCTTCAACAAGAAAGTTTCTGCACCCGCTCCGCTCTAGCTCCGGTCCAACCAGTAAATTTTCGCTCCACCTCAGCTCTAACTCTGCTCCCGCTCACTCCAGCTCCGTTCCAGCTCACTCCACCTCTGTTCCGACTTCGCTCCAGCTAAAAATAGTTTTCATCTTATTGGAAAAGCACATTTTCCGCATTTCTTTGAAGTAGCTTTGCAATGATCTGCGGGATTCATATTCTCTTTTATAGCATATACGGAAGATCAGCACGAAAATTTTTATGTACAATAGTTTTAGATCACAGTTTGATCTACAGCATGAAATAAGACTAGTGGAAATAGGAGAGTGTCGACTGCATTTGAATAGAGTCAACATAGTGAGTATGTTCTTAGAGAGTTGGCTGACATGGGATCGCCTGAACATCCCCCCGGAAGAAAACACACGTTCCACAGGAGCGGATGTGAAAGGTACACTACTGCGACTGATTATAAATACGACAAAGAAATATCGACTGCGATGGATAGTCAACGATAAGCTTTTCTCTGGCTGATGGATCTATCATCGTATACAGAACATGAAGGGGAAAATGGAGCTATTGGTGGAGCGCTAAAAGAAAGAGCCGCTCCGACTCCGCTCCAGCTCCATAGTTTTTACGAAGCGCTCCGCTCCGACTTCATGATTTCCATCAACCGCTCCGGAGTCGGAGCTGCCCATCTCTGGGTGGTACCAGCGATTTCATCTCATGATCAATAAGATCAGAAAACTCCATTGAAAATTCCAAAATATACACGTTCATCAGCATTGAATCACACCTTCCCAAATGCAATAAAATTATATCATCATCACTAATAACAAAAATTGCTAAAAGAACAAAAAGAATTTTGACACTGATATTAGCAATTCAGTTCAAAATTCACTATAATTTCCCCTTTTTGTTTATGACTCTAGGATGGAACAATTAAATTCAAATGGAATAAAATTTTATCATCATCACTAATAACAAAAATTGCTAAAATAACAAAAGAAATGTTGACACTGATATTAGCAATTCAGTTCAAAAATTCACTATAATTTTCCCTTTTTTTGACTCTAGGATGGAACAATTAAATTCAAGTGGAATAAAATTTTATCATCATCGTTAATAACAACAATTGCTAGTCTTAATGGAAGAAAACGCAGCGTATACGTTGTGTTAAAATACATAAAAAAGTATTATAAAAAAGAGCTGATCTAACTAAAAGTAAAAGGGTAATGTAAATGTGATCACTGTTCCACATTATTACTTACCAGGACACTAAAAAGTCTTTTGCATATTCTGTTGATTTTATATAGCCAGGTAATTTGTATAAAGAAAATAGAAATATCATCGTTGTTTAGGATTTCAGAAACGGATAATCAATATTGCTGCTCTTTCTCGTGGTGCAGCGTGAAGTCAGTTTCAACCAAGTAATATGACTTAAGAACTACATAATTTCCTCAAATTGGGTAAATGACCATAATTTAGCGTATTTTACTCATTGCAGTCGGAAATGTTCAGAAATCTGTAGTGCAATATACCCTTCATTCCTCTTTAGTATAAAATTAAAATAAGCTCCAAAAAAACTATTGACATATGCAAATTTTCTGGATGCCTCTAAACTGCTGTTCAAAAACGTGATTTTTGCAAAATGTTAAAAAAGAAAAATTTATCATGCGTTGCATATTGTGACGCGAGAATTTTTTTATTACAACAAAAAGATAGAGCTTTTGAAGCGTTACAATGATGTCATTACATGGCGTTCATTTCCTTAATGCCTCAAAGTGTGAACAAATAAAACAAAGAAAATGTATTTTTTTGCTAGAGAGTTTAGCAAGTTGGACATGCTGACGCTTCACAGTATTATTAGTTCAATTTTTCATATTTAAATTGAGATTAAATATCCTTGTACATTCTTGTAGAGAATTGAACGGAGAATCTTTTGAAAAAAAGTTCAAGTGTAAGCAATGAAAACTAACAAAGATATTGACAAAATACTGAGACCGTCATTTAATCTGGACCACCCGATATTTATTCATGTATATATTGGTAAAAATAAAGAACTCATCAATCATTTATCTATTTTAACATTTTTTATAATATTTTTTATGTGTATTTTATCTTTAGAACTATTAACTAGGATAAGAACATGTTAGAGAACCATGGCTAGATTTATGTATATCTTGTTAAGACCTCTACTGTCAAAAAGCTGTTTTAGCACCCACAAATCCGATCATGATCAAATTTTGAGGGATTGTTGGACATGTTAAGGAATAGTTACGAAAACATTTTAAAGGCTCTGTGTGTCAGCGTTCAAGAGATGTCACTAAAATATTGATTAAAATGGGGCGTCTAAAGAAGTTTTCTGCTCTCAGACAGCAGACAGCTGATAGAAAAGCATGTTTTTATATTTTAGAATGCAACAGCACTTTCAACAAAATTTTATCTTTCTAGCCTTTTTCATAGTAATTCTATCTCAAGCTTTTGGGGAGTAACACGCAGCATCATCAGGAGAACGAATGACCTTCACCGTCACGCGTTCTCCTGATGATGCCGAGTGTTACTCGTCAAAAGCTTGAGATATGAATTTCAATAAAATCTAACCATGTACTTTGTAGCAATATAGTACTATCCAATTCGTTATATATTTTCAACTGCTGCACCAATTAATTTCCTAACCTCGATATCCTTAAGTAGTGATTTCTCACAGATTTTGAACATATCTATACATTTTGTACTTTGTTTGGGAAATTCTATACGCGTTAATAAATGGTAATAGACGGTAATCGACAAATCTAAAGAGAAAACTAAACGTAAAAAAATGAATATAAACGTCATATAAATAACCGTGAAATGATCGATTAATTTAGAGATAAAATTTCCATCATTTTCGGAAAGCGTTATAGAACATAGATTAATCTCAACGAATGAGATTGAAATTTAACTTTCACAAGTGAAACTAGATCTAATAACGTGTAATTTATCAAATGTCAGTTACATGAGATGTTTTAATATTCTATGTAACGTTATTTGCCTTCTTATGAGTGTAAATCAAACATTTTTAGCTTTTGCTTTTTTCATTCAAATATTTGAAATTTGATCAGTATGTAAGTAAATGAAAAAAGAAAGAAAACCTGAAATTGATAATTATAAAAGAAATGAACAATTGTAATGCAAGATACTCTATATATACAAATATTTAATAACATACTTGTTTAAGTACGTCTGTCTGTACATGAATAACTAACTTGACAGATCGCTTCAATATTTAATTATGGCATCAAATGTCGAAGAAATATGATTTATTTCTATTATTTCATCAGGTAGTTTCAGAGGAAAAATGAATTTCATTAGTCTCAAAAAAATAATAATAAAAATAATAAAAATTTCCAGTACATTTTTTTTTATATATTTTACAATCCCCATTTTGTACTTCACTGAAAATCTTAATCATAACGTTTAACTTCTAATTTAAGTGTCAATCAATCAAAAACAAAAAAGGTAACAAAATGTTCCATTGAACTTCTTCTGGTGTCTGTTTTTCGAGATCATCTCTTTCTTACTTATAAATGGTGTTAGCAGTTTGAGGTGACACCACTAGTCGACAATTTACCACGGCTCAATTAAATGAAAAGAATGGCTGAATCTGATCAGCTCAAATCAACTCTGAATCTGGTGATGGAATTTTCTGAGAAAGACAATTTCTAAACTTTCAGAGCTGAGTTCGGGCCGATTTTTCAGTTCTGAATCAGTTATTAGAAGAAAAAGCTTCATGGAAATAACAAAGATTTCTAAGCAATGAGAAGCATTTTAGATAAATTTGACTGTTATTAATATTTAAGTACAGTATTATCTTAAATAGAAAAATATTAGTGGTACTACCCAAGGTCAAAGGCAGAGCTGGAACCGGTCCAGTAGAGACCAGTATTTCACCGGTTGCAACTTTAGAAACATCTGCTCTTTTTACCCTATTTTTCGTCAAAGAACTAAAATTTCAAGTCTTTTTCAGTCAGAATAAATAAGACGATGCTCAAGATAGCTCTTATTTTCATCACTTGTTTTAAGGTTAAATATTATAGGCTCGTTATTGTGAAGGCTCTCTTACATGTGCTCGCAAACTATTTCATTTATGGGGAAAATTCTTTTTGAAAATAGATTTTCAAATAACTTCGCCAGGTTTTCATTGGTATTTTACCGGTTTGAGTTATAATTCCAACCAGCCCGTTTACCGGCCGGACCGGACCTATTCACCTTTTCTCAACCGATTCCGGCTCTGCTCACGAGGAAACCTTTCGAGATGTCCCGTTCCGATTCCAGTGTACACGAATCGATAGACCTGTGAGGTAGAAAGTACCCTGAAAAGATTCCTGCCCATGACTCTTGAAAACCCGGTTTTCTGGAAGACTAGTTTTTCAAGAACTCTAAAAAATAACAAAAAACTCTTTTTAATGAGGCAGAATGGTAGCCCGCACATTTCTGATTAAAATGAGACATCTCCCAGCTCTACACGGCCTTTCTTTGCAAAGTTATAGAATTTACAAAAGCCCTAAATATTCATTGTCAAAGCCACAAAAATAAGAAATTAATTTAGGGCTTTTCTTGTAAATTCTATAACTTCTACACAATCAGTAAGAAGCAAAGAGAATTGTGAAAAGGAATTTTTATAAACATAATAAAGTAACAGCAGTAGTTTTCATTTTATTTAAAATTAAATGAAAACTACTGCTGTTACTTTATTATGTTTATTAAAAATTTTGCCTATTCCGTTAAGATAATGTAATTTTCAGTTTTTTCGGATCTAATAAAATACGGACTTTAATAAAATTGCGTAGCTGATTAAAATTTTCAAATCAAGTTGATCGTCGAGTAGTGACTGTAGAAATAATAAAGAGAACGTTTTGTCGCACATTTAAATGAATGAAAGAAAATCTATTTTTTTTCCACAATTAGGTGATGTTCAGTACATCAACACTACCGGATGCCGATAAACGTGTTTATTTATCTGGACGTGATTTACATACAGTTAATGCTGACGTATTTTCCTATCCTGATATTAATTATCTTGAATTAAGTCCAACACGTGAAGCATGTCTCGATTTTAAACTTGGTCAATTACCACGTGCTATTGGACGTTTAACGTCATTAAGATTTTTGATATTAGATACAAATGATTTAGATTCATTACCAGAAGAAATTAGTCATCTTCGTTATCTTCAAGTATTGGTAGTATCAAATAATCGACTTAATTCAATACCAGAAACACTTGGCCATATTCAAAGTTTAGAAAGTATTCATTTGGCCAATAATCGTATTAAAGAATTTCCATTATCATTTTTTCATCTTATCAATTTATCATTTCTTGATTTATCAAGTAATAAATTAAAACAAATTCCCGATCAAATAGCACATTTATCTCAATTACGAACATTATTACTTTACGATAATCGTCTAACGAGTTTACCAGAATCTATTGGTATTTTAAAAATGTTAACAACATTATGGCTTGGTAAAAATCGATTAAAATTATTGCCAAGATCTTTAACAAAACTTCGATATTTAGATTGGAAAAATAATTATACGTCTACAGTATTAGATGAGAATCCTCTAGTTTCACCACCCATAGAGGTATGTCGAAAAGGTTTTATAGCCATTGAAAAATGGTATCGTCTCAATTCATCAACATTAATGTTAAATTTGGAAGGTGTACAAACAGAAGAAGTTGAAAGTAATCGATTTACATTACGACGAGATACACCGTATTTTGCATAATTTAGCTAGAGAATGAAAAATATTTAGGTAAAGCCTATTCTGTATCTTACTTCTATAATCCGCTTGGTAGTTGGTTAAAGTAAAAAAAACATGAAAAAACATTTTTTACTACAAAATTCTAATAAAGCACACAAGCAAAAAGAAAAAACTTTTAAGATAGACGAAATTTTCAGAAAAAAAGTAAGCAAATAATGCTAAAAAAAGACACACACACACACATCTATAGTCAAGAAAAGCACAGTAGTGAGTAAGCTAAATTTTTATTGTTGGTGTTTTTGTATATAAATGAGATTATAAAATGGAATAGTTTTAGAGACGAAAAAAATGATGACAAAAACTTATAATATTCTTTCTTTGTTATATCTGAATTTTTCAATATCTGACAGTAGTTCTACCTTAGAAAATGTCAGTATAAAAAAAAAAACTCTTCTAAAATACGAAAGCAAAATCGTCTGACGTTATTTTCTAGTAAAAAGTTTGACAAAAAGAATAATAATAATAATAATAAGCTGTATAAATGGAGAGTATAGCACCAGTGCTCAAAAAGCTGATTGCATGTACGTTAAAGAAAAATGATAAGAGGTGAATATTTAGAAAGAATACAACGTATATACAGATAAATATTGCAATACTTAATCAAGAACGAGAGTATATCTAGTGTATAAAACATAATTATAAAGAAAAAATAATTGGTGCGAAAATATTAGGCTGATGTATGATGTTGTTTTTCAGCCATTTCCATTTGCATTTTTGCTAACATTTCTTGCATGCGACGAAGTTCGTCATCTTTTTCTTTCATTATTTTCTTTTGTTCTTCTGACATATTTTCATCACTCTGAATTTGTTTTCTAGAAAAAGAATATATATATTCATCAATAATTTTCAGTACTCGTATAAGATATCCTATCACTCTATATCTAAAGAATGATGATAAGTATTAACTTCATATGCTGTTTAATAGTTTTTTCACTCGAAAACAAAAAACTTTCTAAAAGTAACGCTTTCTAATCTCGCTTTCTAAATTGATCTTTGACACTTTAAATCTTTCTTAAAAATAGTAATTATAACTCAACAAAAAATTATGTTTTTTTTTAGAAAAATTGTACTATTTAACAGCAAAAAGTTTTAAGATGAAGTTATTATAAGTAGACATGGACGGGATTGGAACTATAAACTTTTTTTCCGGGACCGAACCGGAACCGACACTAGAACTAAGGTTTCTCCATACTTAAATAGAAATATTGTAGAAAATCGTCTGGAAGTCTTACAGTTCGATCTTATGGTAAGTAAGCATACACCGGTTATTTTGCTTATATGATCAGAAGAAGAAACATACGGCATACCTCATCTATTAAGTGACAAATAACAGATAACTGTCGATTAGAAACTCCTGAACTTTCCGACATAAATAGAGTATTTTTTCTGTGTGAGCAGAATTGCTTTAAGGATGGGGACTGGAACTGAAAACCCTTGGTCCCACTCATATCTAATTATACGGATCAGAATATAGCTGAAATGTCGATGTAATGGAAGGAAAACTCGATAAATAACATCAGTTGCTACAGAATACTTATTTTCGGATATGAATTCTTCAATGGGAAAAAAGAACTATTATAATATATTACGAAATTATTGGATGAGATTTATTTACTACGGGCTACCACAAAAAAATATTTCAAGTCAATAGGTAGATACAGAGTGGTGGGATACCTTTTACAAATACTGTGTTTGTTAAAAACATACCGTCTTGCTGGATTTAATTTTTCTGAACGATAGTTTTCATAATGAATTTCATGTGTTACTTCTTGAAGATCTTGCATATGTGTACTACAAATTAACAAAATAACACTTATTAAACGAAGTCAATAATGTTACATAAGCGACACTTACATGAGCATTGTTCGTAATTTAATAAAATCACAATGTTCCGGATTTTCAACTTCAATTAGTCCCCATGGATACATTCGACCACGAACTTTTTTCCCTTTTACTTCTAACGTTTGAGGAGAAGCAACAACGGCAAATGGTACAGCATTCTATAGAAGAAACATAAATTAAGTCTAGTATTTTAAGACATAGAATTGTCAATAGACCTTCAACTGCTTGTTTTGTTCTTTAAATTCATCATCCTCATCTGAGTCACTCTCTGGTATCTGATATATATGTATCGAATGTTCACGTATTTGTTCAAGAATCTAAAACAAACTTTACAGCAGTCAGTAACAATAAATATAAGAGACACTTAATATTACATGTTGTTTCATATTTGCCAGTTCATCAAGAGTAAATGCGTCTGCTTTAGCAATAATAGGAACTATATTGACTTTATGATGCAAAGCTTTCATTGTCTCAATATCCAATGGTTTTAAACTAGAAAAAAAAGGATACATCTTCAATAATTGTAGAAAGAAGCGGTAATAAACAGTTTTAAAAAGATCGTATGACAATATAATAATATGTATAGACTTTTGATCTTACCCACGTCCAAATGGGGATATAAAATAAAATAAACAATGTACACGATTATCAGATATGTTTCGTCTATTCAGACCACTTTCATCATCAAGATATCGTTCAAATTGGTTGTCGATGTATTGTATAATGGGCATATAACTAAATATCAAATCAAACAATACTTTATCAAAGACTAAAAAAGTCATAAGCGTATTTACCATTCTGATGTATTAATCGAATCACCGAAACCAGGTGTATCAACAACTGTTAAACGAACTTTGACACCACGCTCTTCGATTTCAACTGTTGATGCTTCTATTTTCACTGTATGACGAATCTTCTCTAAAATAAAAAAAGTATTTTCTACGTCTCATTTTTTTCTGTACGTTACAGATATCATTCATTTACCTTGAGCCGTTGCAATATGACGTTCAGGATAGAGATCCGTCAAAAATAAGCTATTAATTAACGTTGCCTTGCCTAAACCGCTCTCACCTAAAAGAAAATCATCAATTATTAAACTGTTCTATCTTATAGCATCAAAACAAAATTTACTTACCAACTACCATCAATGTAAATTCAAAACCTTTTTTTGCTATTTTTCGATGAACTTGATTTGGAAGATTTGCAAAACCAACAAAACTATGATTATCCGTATTGCTAAACTGACTCTAAAACACAATACATAATATATAGTAGATCTCTCTTTTTTTGATGATTTTTACACTTCGGTCCGTTTAGTTTTTGTTTAATATCTGTAGAAGGATTGTCTTTGTATATTATGTTTTACTACATCTTCACGCATACATTTCTACCTTAGACAAAAGTTTAACTTTATAAGCAATGCAACTCTTCTACTTGTGTTTTGTTAAACCTCAATTTCTGTTAAATAATAACATTGATCAAAATCTTTTTTTAATATCTTTTAAAGGTGCAAAATATATGTCAGATGTCAACAAAACGTACAAGTAAGAAATCAATTCAAATGAATAAACTAATTATCTTACATTTGCATCTTTTTGTTGGGTTCGTACAGTTGCTGCCATTTTCTACTTTTTTTCTAAAATCTAAAAGTGAAATAAAAAGTTAAATTTAAAATGCGAGCTAATAAAGGATAGCTCCTGGTTAGAAAAATAAACTAAGGAAATGAAACTGACGAGTTCCTCCCCTTCTTAATCAGCGTTTTTAATGGAATTTTCAGCAAGGTGAATGGAACATCCACAGTGAAAGGTTCGCATTTTAGCTGATTTAACAGGCCTCTCTCTAGTGAAAAAAAAGTAAAGTGAATATTCAATTTTTGAGTGTACCATACACTTCTGCCGCGAGCATTTTATTATTAAGTATACTGTTTTCATCGCTTCTCAAAACGACTATATGTGAGATGAAAAAATAAGGACGCTAGTTATTGCCCTTGAGTAAATTCCAAATTCAAAGGTCAGCATTTATATCAAAAATGAGCTTTTTTATTTATTTGTGAACAAAATGTTATACACAGCAGAGAGCAATCCCATTGGTCAGAAAATGTTCACTGATACAAGATACATTGTAAAGTCGCTCTAGTACAGCACTTGAGTGTCACCTACAAAGATCTCAGAATGAATGAATACTAACAATTTAGTTTACTCAGAAATTGGTGGCAGAGCCACCGGGTGGGCGTCATCCCTGCACTGAAGTGTTTTACTAATTCCTCACTAAAAGTTTTACAATTTATACCCCACTTAGCTAATATTTTATCTCTAAGAAAACTATGAGATTATAAGGTACCACGATATTATAGCAAATACAACGAAATCACCAGTTGCATCTAGCTACTTCACAATGTTTAGTTCAAACTTTCGCACATGAAAGGCGATGCCGGAACAAATTTCAAGAAGCAGAGTAAGAGGATACTTAAAACAATATCGCTGATAAACACACTTGACTGTAAAATAGTTTCAGCCATTTCCAAAAAATATGGTCTCGGATACTTTTTCGATGAGCTTTGGTAAACGAATAATAGATGTCTGTGATTTTTAGCCTTGTGTAGCCAGTATTTGACCACATTAACTGCTCAAATCAAGACGAAACCCGAAGGTGATGGATTCCATGAGTCTTTTCGACACAAGATTGCTACTAAAAGTCTTCTCATACTACTATTTCATCCTGTATACGAAGTAGTCTCTGCAC